GCTGCGTGGGCCGGAGGCGAATCCAATTACATGTCTGCCGGCTCTACATAGGCTGTTTCGTTAAGTTTCAGCAGCCGTACATTGTCCCGGTTGCAAAGCCAATGGTCACTCTCAAGCTCACTTAAGTTCTGCGCGGACAAATCAAAAGTCGCCACTACTGCACGTCCACAGAACGAGTAGGCATAGGAGTACACATTGGTCGTGGACTTTGCACCGTCTTCGGACGGCCTTGCAAGGCTTCATGGTGCCGCTTCAGGAACAGAGCGTCTCCAACCCCGTCCAAAATGACACCGGCATGAATCCTGCGGTCAAACTCTGCCAGGTCCATCTGCTCAGACTCCTCGACAGTGACCTCTAGGTACTCTGGAAGACCAAGTTGCTGAGCTATACGCTGCAACGTGTGGGCTGCAAGCATGGACTTGCCCAATCGGGTTGCTCCCACAATTGCCAAAATTGGGCGTCGAAACCGAGAGCTCCCATCGTGACAGGCCACAAACTCCTGAAGCAAAATGCCACACTGCATGCTGTTGTTTGATGTTGCACGCTCTACAGGAAACACAAATCACGGGCATTCTACAGGCCTCGATCACCGGAAACGACTTCATGGGCAGGGTTGCTGGCTCCAGCGCCTTCGCATGACCACAGATAGCGTCCTGGAGCGCTTCATCATGCAGGTAGCGCTCAGCTGCCTTACAATCTGCGAGCCGCTTCTGAAAGCCCACCGTCACTTGCGCTGCCAATTTCAGGTACGCCTTGCGGGAAAGCTTGCCGGCCTTCAAGAGGTTGTCCAACCACCAGCCCTCCACGCCGTAGGCTTTGAAGGGCGGGTAGTTGGTGTAGTTGAACCTTAGAAACTTGTCACAGGAAGCAAAACAACTGTGAACTCTTGAGTCTTGAGCCTCGCTATACCACATAACTCCTATTTCGAGGCCGTTCGAGCCTCCTTCGAGGCCGCTCGAAGCCTCATTTCCCGGGTTTTGAGGCCGCTCGAGGCCTATCCGAGGCCTTCCAGGGCTCCAAAACCCCTTTAGCTTACAAGATTACGAGGCCGCGGGGACTTGGGGCTTTATAATACTAATTGAGGAGTCCCCACAGGGCCTCGGCCCGCAGCACAACGGTTTCTCTCCCTAGAATTTTAAGCCGCAGTTTGTTCCAAGTCCCGAGGCTGCTCTTTAAGCCTCTAAGCATCTGCTGCCCAGGCGCAGAGTTCCAAGTTTGTCGGCGACGACATAAAAATGACCAAATCGCACAGCACCTGTGTATGTCTTGCCGGACGCGGTATTTGGTGTCACCTGCGGCCGCACGCCTTCGAAGGCAAAGATGTTGAGGGCATCCTGACCACGCCGATGGAAGGCAGTTGATAGATGAAGATAAGCGCGCAGATGGACTCGTTCTGGTGACGCACGCTCCATGGTGGCCGAGACACCTTCTGCTGAAATCTGGTCAGCCAGGCGGCCAAGGTAGGCGACAAACCGGCCAAATAAGTTCTCGAGTACGCCGTGATCAAGCGCCATGAAGTCGCTGTGACTCGAGTTGTAGGTGAGCTGCACAGCTGAGAACTTCCACACCTTGCCTTGTGCAGGCGCTGGAGTGCCAGTATCTCTGGCTTCCACATTGGCAGCAGAGAAAGTGGCTCTGAAGGCTGCAATAGCATGATTGAATTGTCTTCGCTGTTGCTGCGTGAGAGCCAAGAGACACAGGTCCTCTGCCAATTTCCCTACCTTTGCACGACTGGCATTCTCCGGCAAGGTTGCAACACCAGCTGCGTGGGCAACCCGTTCAAGGCCCTGACCTGAGCTTCACGTTCAGGGTTTCGGGCGCCACCCATTGCTGGAAAGTTGGACAAATCGCAGTCTCGCCCCTTCTCCTGTGCTCTGGAAATGCGGCAGCACTTGCAGCAGGCACAGAACAAACACAGTGCGAACATATAGACACACATGCACACGGACCAGGCGCGCGAATCTCTTTGTTCACAACATACAGCTACAGCCACTTTACTCATGCAGCAGTCGAGTAACTAAGTTTGAGAGTTCGCATGCGCTAGAGCACTCAAAACTGGATCGGTCTCATTCTTTTTGACTTGGTGGTCGAACGACGGTAAAGCAACAGTTAAGCTGCACCGAGTTCGAAGCAATGTCGCCTGCTCATAACAAAACCCCGTACCACACCATACCAAGCACCGCAGGCAAAAGTGGCAAGGAACAAAACGACACAGGCGACACAGCCTACGACCCAGACGAACTGGGCCTGCTGCGACGACATGTTCAGAGCTTTTCTGCTGAGCAAAGCGGCTGTGTGTGCAACAGGATTCCAAGTGTTTGAAAGTGCGACAACTTCGTAGAAAACACCATTGAGTAAACACAAACACCTGCTGTGAATCCGTGTCCATGCGCAGAGCTACAGCTACAGCGTCGGCTCAGCTAGCGGGCTTTTCCTGCTCAGCATTTCGAGTTTTGGAGGTGAACCGCAAGCTTTATCTCTCGACGGACCGGCAGAAA